TCCGTTCAACGGCTCTTCGTGTCTCCAAACGTTTACAGAATTTACCCTGGTTTTGTTCGGGTCATTGCACAATTCCCGCGGCCTCGAGAATGCGCGCTTTACAGTACAAAGTGCACGTAAAAAATTCCACTGACGAGAAAGACGCGTTTAGCAGCGACAGAGGTTGTTAACTAGCGGTATAAAGAAGGTAGTATACAATTAGTCGCATGTTTGTAATTCGCACGCTGGATTAACGTAAGGAAGAAGCAAGTGGAGAGAAACTTTTATCACGCAAATTCTGAAACTCTCTCTCTCTCTCTCTATACTTGTACTTTGTACACGCGCGCGCAGAAAATCGAACGCACTACCTTGGGACGGCGACGAAGCGGCTCTTCACGAACCGCGATAACTGCGGATTCCTCGGGATTTATCGAAAGTAACGTACACCACATAGAGACGCATTGTTCTCTCCCTCTTTGAAGCCTTTCACTTTGCGACGTACTTTTTACTTTTGCGAACGTGACATTTGCGATTGACAGCATGCCTGACACGTATATATTCGATGTCGCACCACGCGCCGCATATGGACATGCCCTGTTCTCTCTCTTTTTTTTTTTTTTTACTTTCCTTCTCCTTTTTTTGCCCGATATTAGAAGTCAAGTTGGAGTCGGAAATCACGGTCGTCCGACAAATGTTGGTTTTGATGCTTTTTCAGAGATGAGAAGGAGCCGTTGAAAGAGGAGAAGAAGATCACGCCGATCATCGATTCCGGACTGCGTCGGGAAACCTCCATCACCTTCGACGGCAAGAGGTCCGTCTCCAAGACCGGCTTTGTCGGCAAGGACTCGGCCGTCTAGATATTCTTCCGGCGTACTAGATTGTAAATCGTATCGGAGGCGCAACGCGATCTCCGGCTAAAGTGTTCTCGAAAAGAAACAAAACAAACGAAGCAAAGAGATGAAACAAAAAACGAAGCGAAAAGAGGAAGAAGAAGGAAAACTGTGTAGGGCGCATCATCGTGAGCCCGCCTGCGGAAGTACCGGGGGTTGTAAACCGCTCCGACGGAATTTTCCCGGATCTCGCGCGGAGCCTCTCGCAGTTGCATTTTCGCCATTCACCCACGAGCCTCTCCGCCGAGCTCCGTTTTTCGTTTTCGCTCTTAAACGTACGCGCGGTTTCACGGTCGCACCCGACCGACCCCTCCTCTCCCTTTCGAGACCTCTTATTCGTGCACTGCGATACGCCGCCTTTTCCTACAGGTCCTTGTGTGAATCCCTTGAAAGCGCTTCCTGCTATTGGTAAACTCGCAGACTACTTTGCTACGAGACTTTCGTTTGATTTCGCGCGTGAGGTAAGTCAACAGCTTAAAGAGAGAAGGAGCAAACCTTGGAAACCTGATGCGTTCGCTTCGTTTTCACAGCTGAGAAATGTGATAACAATATTCTATAGATAGAAGAGAATCGATTATATCGATTAATCTTAATAGGTAAATAATTATCGCGAAAACTGTGATTGAAGATAATATCAAAGATAGCATCAAGAGAATTTCAGCCCAATTCGTTGTACTCTTCATCGGCAGATAAATCACGTTTCAAAGGTTTGTCTCCCAAATGTAAAAGCAATCTCAAAGTCCCACACACACACACACACACACCCCGTCAGTGTATTCGCCAAGGTATGCGAAACAGCACAGATAATCGATAGCTTACGAGGCAAGAAGTGCGAAATGAGCGGTAAACGCGTATTTCGTAGTCGTTCTAGAAAGCAACTATGATGAATATAATCGTAATTTAGCGCGTGCTGCAAGGAAATGAGGGGTAGGTAGATCGCTTGCGCGAGTAGAAGAAGGTGATGATGATAATCATGACGATAACGATGATGAAGACAAGGGGAATGTACAAAATTCGTCGCGAAATTGATAGAGGTCGATCGATCGATTTAGTGATCCACGCTTCGAGGCACCTTTTAGATTATCACAGTCTAGTACGCTGGGTAGTATCGCGTCCTTCGTCGCGCGCGACTTGACGAAAACCACACGAAAAGTCACACTCTGTTGCGCTTCAAAGAAAATAAGAAGAAAGAGAAGCGTGAGAGGGAGAAGGAAACTTCGTGTTCGTTCCGACGGAAATGCATATTGCATTTTAAGGGGTATAAGAGTGGAGAGTGTTAGGGTGGAGAAATACGACACACGCCGGTGTTCTCCAAGTTATCAACAATCAAGTAACTTTGACTCTTTCGCTATTGAAAGAATTTTTAACGCTATCATGAGTTTAATATTAGAAACGATACGATATTAGAAACGATACGTGCATTGCGGCACACGCGAAGTTTGCTCCAAAGCCATAGAAACTTTGAGATTCAACGGAGGCATTTATCGTTCTGAGAATGGAGAGTGGAGTGAAAGAATCGAAGAGGGTGACGACGGGTGTAATTCTCGAAAGTGTGAAAATGGAATGTGATGCTTGCGATCGATTCCGCCAATCCTTCACAAAACGAGCAACACGCATAGAGCCTTTCATGTTTTCTCAAAACGCAATTTTTTATTTTACTTATTAAGGAATTTGACATCAAATCTTAATAAGCTGGCGAGTTGTTTCGTCTATCCATTTGTTGAAAGAAAATTTCGGACAGATTGGCGACGTTTCGTGTATATGTATCGCCTGCGAAGGATCATTATCCGTTATTGCGCGATCGAGAAACGTACATTCTTCGCTGTTATACCTCGCAAGCGGCAACAGAGAAACCCTTTCTATCTCTTCCCCTTAGGCGAGGTGCGCGATTTGCGCGTCAACCTCCGCATTGTACATACACCTTGAACAATCTATTATCTTCCCTCATTCATACCTCATTCATCTCTCCGTGTCTTTCGATTAGAGGCGACCGTCGATTGAGATACGCGAACGGTAGATAGCTTCCACATATGCGATATCTTCGTCGCGTTTCTAATCCCTCGTATCTTCACGATCGTGACATTTGATCTTTTTTATTTCTACTTTAAATCTTAAAAGACTGATACGTTCTTTTTTTTATTTTTAAACATCAAATTAATAAAATCGTAAACGTTTAAATAGATCAAAATGTATATCGAATTTCCGCTCTCCCTGACTATTCAATCGCTGCGCGCGCGTGCTCTTTATCGAATCTTGCGATCATGTGTATGTAGTCGAGTGAGTAATTATGAAATATCTTGCGCATATCTGTCACAGCGGGCCCCTTCGTTTTATCATACTTATATATTTGTTTTTTACCTCGAGTGAGAAATGCTCTCAATTTTTTTTTTACTTATTTTTTCTTTGTAATCGTGATACTATGAAATATATGTTTTATGATGTTATACGTTGGTTATACGTTGTGCAATGTAACATGCGTAAGAGCAGCTCATTCTTTACCACGTCTTATATATCCCTCTTTTCTCTAGAATTATTAATTATTTTATTTCTTCTTTCCATATTGAGAATGGAAAGAATTCTTTTTTTACTTTATAAAAAAGTGATGAGAAAAAATGATTAAAGATGAAGATTGAGCGGCTCTTATGACATTGGGTTTGCATCGAGGTTGCAGAAGTCAATATGATTAAGTTATCAGTCGCGATTGTCCGAATCGTAACAAAGAGCAGCGTTAAAATCCGAGGAAGTATCGATGTACGAATTTTGATAGACTTCTGGCGGATCTTGGTACGTTATGCACTGTAACATGAAAAGTCTCTCTCTGCATATATATATATATATATATATATATATATATTTATATATAATATAATTCTATTATATATAATAATATTATATTGTATATAAGATATATATATGCAAATGTATGTGTATAATGCAACCGAACAACAAATGACATTTACCGTGACGAGTATCAAGTCACGCGGATATACGAAGCTTGCCAGTCGGATTTTTTTCGGTCAGTGATCCCCGAAAGTGACATCGGAAAAGCTGCCATATATAATTAATATATCCGAATAGTGAGTAAAGTACCACTCTTGTCTTAATGTCTAAGATGGCTTTTGCAGAAGAAAAAAACGCAGTTAAAATGTGATAAGTTTTTGTAAATGCTTGTAAACGTTTTTCCCTAACTATAAGAAATATCGATGATAAAATAGGAAAGTCATCGTAGATTTAGAAGACACGCGCGAATACAGAAGGCGTGTTTCTCATGAGAAGCTGGCGCGAACGGGGGAAAAAATGTAATATTTCGTCGATGAAATGAATCGAGTTACTGCTTACGATTAAAAGTTAATTATTGAGTTATGATGCTACATTGAATAATTCGATAATTAAATTACAATTAAAGATCGAGCGCAACTGATAGTGCCCGAGGAACTCGCAGACTTCGTGAATTTCACTTTTTCGTTTTATTTGTGAGTTCTAACGAAAGATCTGAAATCGACAGTTACTATGTACAAAAACCTGAAGAAATGACGCAGAGAATAAAGCGTGAAGAATTCGCAAACGTAACGGAAACGTTCTATCGAGCACTGTCGTTGCATCTGTTGATATATATGACACTGAAAAGCGAGCAAACAAGCAAGCAGACTCTCGTTCGCGAACACGTTTTCCGTATAGGTAGCTTTTTTACGTAAGACAGAGTTTGCCAAATACCATAGTACTTATTAGCACGTAAGTCGATAAATAAAAATATATATATAAATATATATATATATATATATATATATTATACATGAGAATGATATATGGAAAACACACAAATGAGTCGCAGGAGACATTCGTGTCGCCAGGCACTTTACGTCGACGAAACGAGACACGTTTCTAGCATATACAGCTATTTCGCATCTGTTGCCAAAAGCCATTTTAGCCCAACAAATAGCTTCCCACGAAAAGTATTACAGCGCATATCCTTTTTAGTCTGGAGACCATTACGAGTATTATTAAAGTTCCGTAGGTGTAAGGCGTATTTTTTATGTATGCTTTTTCTGTACACGACGAGAAATCCTGCTCTCGAATAAAAAGTGAAGAAACATTTTCAAGCTCAAGAGGTCAGTGAATATGAGCCCGGCGTCCGCTTACGTTTTCATCGAAGATTTTATTACAATACACTTTTACAAAAAGAGAAAACGACGCAATATAAGATATACACATTTGCTTTTTCAACTGGCAGAAAAACGTAGACTCCTTCCTTACAAATATTAATATCATCGGCGTGTAAATTAGCCAAGTCCACTGCTAAGAGATATCACATGTATTCTTCAAGCTCTTCGAAGCATCATTTGCACAAGTCGCTAGAGAGAGACATTCGGTTAATATCTCGCCTCTATCATCATTACTAAGTCTGTGACTACAAGCGGCTATACAGCATGACACTGTATTGTTCTATTGTAGGACTCAGAGAAATAAAAATTTACGCGTACTTATCCTATTATTCGCGCGCTCTTACAACGATCAACGCTCTTACTTAACGAACTTAACGTAATTTATCTAAATATCACTGAATTCTATAGAATTAGCAAGAATTGCACGAAAACTCACGAAACGGCGATGAGCATCCTTTTCTTATACCTCGATCCCGGCATTGGAACGCTTTCCTTTTCTGATTAACATCTGCTCAACGTTCAATTGCGGAGGTTCCGTTCGCGTATGCCACACGTACACCTGGAATACGCAAAGTTTGAGGTTTCACTTGGTAATCTCACTTGGTAATCATTAAGGCCTAATTAAATAGATTAATTCATACCTTCATGCAACAATCCGCAAGCGGCTCCAGCTGATCCCTCGTTATTATTTGCCGGAGTATCTCGCTCTCCTGATGACCGCCTTGTACGTCGTATGAGAACCATGCTTCTTTATGTTTGAGCAAGAGCTTGAGATTAATGGCAAAGCCGGCCATGTCGACCGGGAACGGACGGTCCGGCTTCCACGCCGCATTAAATCCAATTACCTTATTAGTGGCATTATCGCAAATGCAGATAGGCCGTTCCACCATTAAACCGCCGACTAGACCAACCGGCCACACACCGACTTTTTGTATTTTTTCCATCTGTAAAATATAGAGTATATATATATATATATATATATATATATATATATATATATATATATATATATATATATATATATATAATTCAACATTATACGTCTATTTCCAAGTAAAAAAACAACTTGAGCTGGAGTTGTTAGTATACCTTATCAAATGTGTGTTATCTTAACGTATCATGTATCATGTAACGTATCTGTACAGAGTACAGACTGTTGAACTGAGCCTCGGACTAAAACAATTGCATCTCGAATGTTCGAGAACTCTCATACAATCCATATTTTGCTTCGAGCATATAGCTCATGTTGATAAAATAGCTCGAGGCTCGACCAACAACGCCGTTCAATGAAGCATGCAACCCCCACGATGTAACACCCTTTGATGCAGCAGCGAATTAGCGATTTCTGATGGGCAGCCGCAAGCCAAGTCCAAATGCTCGAGGCTCGAGATTCAGTTCGGTAGTCTGTGCTCCGCATTAACGTAGCCGCCAGCTTCTACAGGGGATCGGGTTACCTCGCGGAACAGCTTGATGGCGTAAGTATTGTCATCGTCGGCAAAGAACACGATACCCTTGTTGGACGGCTTGAGATTATCTCTGAGCCATCTCAGCGCTGCGTTTCGTTGCTCCACTCCGCGCGGCTTCCTCCAATTCGGATCGTTCTTGCCGAGCTTGTAGTTCGGTGGAGTCGCCACGGACAGATGCGTATAGATTAGGCCACTGGTCTCCAGAAGGTTTGTGACCAGGCTAGTCTTGGACGGCGCGTCCTCCACGACGATCCAGTGGAAGTTGCGCACATGGAGGAATGTCTGCGCTAACCGGGTAAGCTCAGCTTTCTGCACAGGCCGGGAGAACGTGGGTGTGATCGCGTAAATCACCGTCCGATTGCTGGCGCTCCCATGGAGATTCTCGACGAAGAGGCCGAGTGACTCCAGCCTCTTCACCACGCTGTACGTCAGTCCCTGCACGTCGCGCAGGTCCATTATCACTGGTTCTAGCTTGGACCGTAATTCCTGCCATTTGTTGTATTCCTGGTAATCTGCGTGAAAGTTAATTAAAGTTATTGCTGACTAAGTTGCGCGAATTTTCAACTGTTATTTACTCGCATATCAAACAACACACTTTCAGACAGTGAGAATACGACTACGTCGCGCGACGTAATCTGCGCAGAACAAAAGCAAGCGTACAGCAACAGCAATTGCACGAAAATGAAGACGAAGCGTTGTAGTATAAATAACCGGCAAGCCGTGGCGCGCTTCGCGAGGGCTTCGAAACAGCGTCTAATGTAAACAATAATAGTCTGTGTTTATGGGAACATGACTTTTCGTCCGCAATCCACGCATCGTATAATCCACGTAAACATTTGTTAACTATATTTCCTTTCCCTTCTCTGTTTGAAAATAAAGCCTTCATTTACATGAGGAAACTAAACTCTATTCATAGTCGTCCGCGTAAGTCCACTGTAATACTGGCAATGAAAAGTAGTCACCATTGTTTGAAATAGTAGGAAATACCAATGACATTTTCAGTTAAACAATTGTCAAATCTTTACACACTTACATTTGCGTTCTAGCTACGATTGGATCCAATTTTTTTTTCAGGCGGAATTGGATACAGTGAAGCGAACGCTAAATGGCCACGAATAAATATTAGACATTATATTTTTTCGTGTTTCAATGCGGAAAAAATGTTGGCAAAAAAAAGTTGCCAAAACAATTTATTCCGCTTTTGGGAGTGGTGTGATGACAAATCGAACGTGCAGCAGATGGTTTCGTTAGAAATTTTGATCTTAGCGATCGTGATCGATATGGCTGCCATTGCTAACTGCAAATAGACGACTCCAAAATCATTTTTTTACTAGTACTTTGTCAAAAAATCTTCAGAGACATAATTTCTATGAAATAATGTAACGTGAACATTGCAACACTGTTTCGAATCGCCCGCCAAAGGGCATCGAGCGCACCGGTGACTGCGACGACTTTCACGCTGATGTGCGCACAGACGCGTACGCACGCGTGCAACTAGCTGTCCATTGTATAGACAGCGATATTAACGCGAATAGCACAATAACTAGATAAGCACTCACATATGATACTTTGGAATACGATCACATTAACGAGCAGCAGTATCAGGAAAGCCCTGTTACAGCGAAATCCACCCCACATACTGGCTTTCGTGCTGGATTCGTCGGTGAGGAACACACTCTCTGTCATCGTTGACGCGCCATGACACTGTTCTGCCTCACCGACAGCGCCAGTCCTGAAATCAACATAATAGCAAGTTTTCGCAATACTATTATTCAAATAGGGTAAAGTACATTCCGATATTCACTATCAGTACTGCATAGTTTATGTTATCTTATAGATTTGAAGTACTGACATTGAATATCGAAACATACCTTAGTATTATCGTATCTGAGACACGGTATTGTAAAAACTTCCTAATGTGACACCGCAATACCGTATGGTCTATATAATACGGGGCACTTTTGCAACACGATACAAACAATCGATCTAAACCGATTTCTTTATTTTCAAAGGAACAAAACTCGTTTTCTTGTCACTAATAAAATTGATATTTGAAATCATCAAACCCTCTTACCATATTAAAATACTAATTAAATTACTCGAGTCCAGTAATTTTTAATAAAATCGATGTTAGAATGAGAGGTAGCTACTTGTTAACGTTCTATAAAGTTGACGATTTCCTTTCTACTTGTTGCGAACATAAATACGTTGTTCTATATCTACATTTAATGAATGTAGTTGGCGTTTGAGTATGACTTTTGGCGCCAGTACTAAAAATCTATAGTTCATATCACGTATACTATAGAATTTCAGTACTGGCAATGAATTTCGGAACGCAGCCACACTCTTGATTACTATCAGCGCTCTCTGTCTTCTCTCCGTTCTGAGAGATGCAACGAGATGTGGACATTGATGTTATTTTCTATAAGAGATTTTATGAGAGATGAGAGACTAAAAATAGAATAATGTTCGAAATAAAAAGATAAAACTCGTATAATGCACAACTGTTAATTATAAGTGATTATATAAATATAAACATTATGTATTGATAATATAATTGTGTGTGATTTTAAAAATTGTCTTTTATTTAACATTGATGGTGTGTTATATATTTACCATGTGTAACAAATGATGATATAATAATTTTAGTAATATATTTATGACTTAAATAAATATATCAATTATAACTATGTGTACATCTAAAACTTTTTGTGAAACTAAAGCAAGATATAAAAATTTTTATTAAAATACCAATATAAAATAGTTCCGTGTAAATATTGTATACATTGTATACGTCATTATATTACAGCTAAAAATATCTAAAAAAAAAACACTAAAATATCCCTGTGGAGTATCAAACTGCAAAATCAATAGCAATATGATTTGGCTGATGTACTCGAGGAAATAGAGCATTTGTAAGAAAAGCCTCTGCATAGGTCACTCACATACAATTAGCTTATAATTACCTTGTGTGTAGAAGGTAATGTATTTTGGATCAGGTATATATATTGTTTAATGAAAAAATAGAAATCTGCATCAGTGAACTCTTAAGTAAAAAACAAGATCATACATTTTCAAAAAACAGTAAATTCCTTGTACTATATTAGATTATGTTGTATGTATTTATATAAATAACATAATAGTTATACTATATTATATATGAAATAGAGAAAGTTATATTCTAAATGTAAGCATTATAACATGTTTTTACTCATTACTGTATTTACCTATTTACTTGTATGAAAAAATATGCTGTTAACATTACTAATCTTAAAAGATTACTCTTTATTGTTATTGTTATTCAAGAATTAATGAGATATTAATAGATGTACTGAGTTAGCATTGTCTTTACCAAGTTTTGAAGATCCTCTTCTTAAACTCAACGGTTTGATACCGCAGATCTCATGTACAGGTATTTTGCAAGTATTCACAAACTAACCTTAAAAATTCCAATTATATTTGTGATTCTATTACTATTACAGTTACGTTTAAGAAAATTAATGTCTTTACTAAACAATTATAAACAAAAAGTGACATGTAACCTTAAGAGCATTATATTATTCTGGTTATTTATAGATAAACTTATTGTTACCATTATTAATCTTAGAAAATTAATCAGTATGACTATTATTATTAAAAAAATAATGAGTTGTCGCAAAATATACTGAGTTAGTATTGTCTTTACCAAGTTTTCAAGATCCTCTTCTTGAACTTGATGGTTTGATGCCGCACATCTCATATACATGTATTCTATAAGTATTAACAAATTAACCATAAAAATTTCCATTACATTTGTTAATATTACAAAAAAATATAATCCTATTACTATTACAGTTACGTTTAAAAAGATTAATATCTTTATTAAATAGTTATAGACAAAAAGTAACTGATAATCTTAAAAGCATTACATAATGCTGATCATCTATGGAAAAAACTTATTGTTAGCATTACTAATTTTAAAAAATTAATTATTATCATTATTGTTATTTAAGAAGTAATGAGTTATTACAAGATATACTGAGTTAGTGCTGTTTTTACAAAGTTTTTAAGATTCTTTTCTTAATCTTGACGACTTAATGCCACAGATCTCATATACATGCATTCTACAAATATTTACAAACAAACCATAAAAGTTTCAATTATATTTGTTACTATTATTCAAAAAATATAAATTTTTTACAGGAAGAAACTTCTGTAGAATATATTTTTGCTATTTCTACAAAGAACAAGGATCTACTTTTGAGAAACTACTTGTGGGAGTATACGCTGAAAATTAAGGATTTAAAAACTGAATATGTTGCAGCTTGAGACATAATTAAATATATTACACAATTTGAAAAGAAATATAAGTAAGTTTATAAAATTTAAGTAATTTAAGAAATATAAGTAAGTTTATAAAATTTAAGTAGATTTATAAAATTAGACGATACACATGTCATACAATAAGATAAAAATTGATAAAAGGAATTTTACTGTTTCAGGGAGCAAAGAGTATCAAGTTTTTGTATAAATATAGATGATGTGATGAAACTACCACAACATATCACAAGCAATCCTTATGTACTGAATTATATTTTTCTCTAATCCCTTGACATATCTTAGAAAATATTTCAAATATTTTTATTTTATAGAATCATTATTTAAATGGCACTCACAGCATATTCATCTGTGCTATTCTTGTTAAAAATTAAAAAACAAAATGAAATATGTCAATAATCACTGTAATGACAGATATTTATTAGAGAGAAGAAAAAAATACATTTATAATACATAAAACTTACTTTTTAGGAGTATTCTCATATTCTAAACTATCTATTATTATAAGTTCAAAATTGAGCAAATGGAATGTGTATAAATGTATATAATTTCTGCGAGGATAAATTTGTACTAACAATTCTTTAACAATGACTATATCATGAGAAGATACAAAGTATCTCGCTTTGATCCTTTATACGTAGGCAACTACGTTACCGATATGCAAGGTCATGGATCCTCAAACAGTTGGGTCTCCAGAATGATCTCTTCAAGAAAGAATCTTGTTTTCACAAGATCAAAGATCTTCGCTACGAGCAGCTACCATTTTTACCGACTACTTAAAATCAATGTACGTTTTAACGGCAAATCGGAAGACTTTCTTATTTTCATGCAATATGACTGCAATCAGAGCGGCAGATTAGAAGGGTTTCTATTTTTAAGAGAATAAATATTTATTTTAATTTATTCTTTCTAATTTTTTTCTAAGCAGAGATCTTTGTTTCCAGGTGCTGCTTGTAAGACTGGTCTATCGCAAAGGTGGCAACCACCCTCGATCGATTTGCTACGCATCCCACAGATGACGCCAAAGTGTTCGAGATTCGTGCGAATCGAGGGCGCATGCCGGGACACGCGCGTGCCACGGTCACGCGTACGCTCTCCCTAGGAGAGTCAGCAACCAGTCAGCAACGGATCGCGGGGTGGGAAGGCAGAGTGACGGCAGGGAAGAGTGGAGGGAGGCTGGTTTTGGCTGGCTGGCTGGCTGGCGAAGTAGCGAGGTACCGTGCCGCGCAGCCACACCGGCCACTGCGACGGCCGCGGCGGAGCGAGCGCGTTCGTTCCTCCGTTCGTTCGGTTTGTTCTTATAGCGCGAACGACATCGCGATGTGAGGATGTGATGGAACTCGTCGATGATCGCTCAACGCGAGACTCGACGCTACAAGCGGTGAGCTGCGATTAATTACCAAACGGGGTGTGAGTCGATAGCTCGCGCCTGACAAGAAGAAAGGGTGAGGAGGATCGTTGGGGCGGAGGAGGGAAAGAGAGAGAGAGAGAGCGCACGGAGAGCTCACGTGACAACGCAGGGGGTTGCGAACTGTCTGACAGTAGTACGTCGAGCGGCTGCTACTACTGCTTGCCGTAAGTTGCTTGTTGTGACTGTGACAACGACAGTGACGGCGGCGGCGACGGTGGCGGTTGGTGGTGGTAGTGGTTGTAGTGGTGGTGGCGACGACGACGACGACGACGGCGGCGGCGGCGGCGGCGACGGCAGCGGCGGCGAGGACGACGGTGGGTAGCGACGGTGCTGTCCGGAGCACTGCTGCAGCTCGATCATCCGCGGTGAAAGGGAAGGCTGGCGTGGCCCTCGAGGTTACGAGGCCAGGCGAGAAAGTGGGTGTTGCCGGAACGACGTCGGTTACGACGACGACGACGACGACGACGACGAGGACGAGGACGAGGAGGACGGGAAGATCGTCCGAGTCCTGCAGGAGTCGGTCGTCGGAACTTCATAGAAAGGAGGCAGAGCAGGTGGACAGGACGACCGGAAGAAGGATGTTTGTCGGTCGTCGGTCCTGGAGTCGACGTCAGCCCTTCGCTGGCTTCCTCCTCACCGATGACCTCGTGCCTCGTGAGTAATCGCGCGTCGCGAGTATCCTCCTCCGCTTTCCCGGCTGCGACGCATGTCACGCTTCCTCTCTCTTTCTCACCCTGTATGTGTAGGCGAGCGTTTGTTCCAGAGATGGATCACCCTTTAACTACTCGCACACAGAGTGGTCACTTCAACGCCAGCGTGAATACATTTTTATACTATGAACTTATCGACACCTTCATCTCGCCGACGTCATTCTTGGATCGTTCACTCACCCCCTGAACGACATTGTTCGGGATGACGTCGCAGTTGTAGCTACCGCTCGCGCATCCTGAACAGAAGATTTTGTCTAACGAGTGTCTTTCGAATCGTTCGGCCGGATTTCTCCAGCGAATATCGTCCGGAATAATATTGTTCAGATGACGGGCAGCACTCGCACAGCTTCGCGCTTCTCCAGGAAATAGAGGTCGGATGCAAATTACGAGCGCAGACGAGAGGAGGTGCGCACCGGGCACGGTAATTGGGGCGAGGGGACGCTGCCTCGATGGGCATACTCAGCGCAAACAGCGAGGGGGATCGCCGAAAGGGGGGTATTCCCGTCTCTCGCGCTTCCCTCGCGACTTCTCTCCCTTTTCGATCCTCTCGCGCCCCGCCGGCGCGCCTCGATCTCTCGCCACGATCCGCAACCCTGTGCGTCCCTTCACATGTAACTCTCATATATTTTTCCCCTTCTTGCTTTCGGTAAACCGGAACCATCGGCGCGTGAATCGTTTCTCTGTGTACGTCGTATAGAGAGGAATCCCACGCTCCGCGACGTGGGAAGGGGACGTTATTGTGCGCGACGTATGCACGCGCCCTTTGCTCTCTCCATGCCCTTCTTCGTGCAACCCCTTCATCGTCCTATACCGCTCAAGTAATGTACACGAAATACCAGGAATAATACTCGAGGCTCGTCGACCGCTCGAGAATCTCGCCTTCACCCCTACCTCTTCCTCCTCCTCTTCCGATTCTCTCTCTCTCTCTCTCTCTCTCTCTCTCTCTCTCTCTCTCTCTCTC